GGGCCCGATTCAAGACTCGCAGATCCAAGATAGGTCGAAGGCCACCGCTTTTCTTGGGTACGATGAAGTAAGGGCTGTAAAACTCCTTCCTCATCTCGGCTGGAGGGACCGGCTCGATTGCATCCTTCGCCAATAGGACAGCAATCTCCTCACACAAGACAGACGTGTCTCGGACTGCCACTGAAGTCTTGAGAACGCCGTTGAACTTGGGAGGTGACCTGGTGAACTGAATGGCGTAGCAGAGTCGAACCGTCCGAATAAGCCAGCGGGACGGGTTGGGCTGCGCAAGCCACGCTCCCAAACTCCATACGAGTGGCACCAAAGAGACAGTCGACGTACCCGCAGTGGTGCAGCGATGGAGAGGTGTGCTGGGTGGCACAGAAGGCATCGCGTTCTGAGTCATCACAGCAAAACTCCCCGTGTCCCTGGAGGGACTGGCCAGAGACGCGTGGAGAGGCGTTGCGTCTCCGAACCACGATCTCTTGGCCACTGGCGATAGGGGGCATCGTGCGTGAGGGTGAGGAAGTGGTGCATTGCTCACTGTCAACCCACGAGCCTTGCAAGCCAGAGGAAAAGGAAACTGCTCTTTTATTGAAAATGTGGTTACCGCTGGCCATTGAGCCAGTGGCGGAACAAAAAAAAAAGGGAAAAAAAGATTCTCCACCCGGCCCTCCTCCGGGGGAAGGAGCGGCACTGTCCTCACCACCTCCTGAAGAGCAATTTCCCACATCTCCGGGTTGCCCGTGTCAGGGCCGCTTCGTCGTCTTCTTGGACGGGGGGCGCCGCCCACAGCGACGAGCAGGCTTGTGTGTGTGTGGGAGATGCAATTATATATCTACTGCAGAAGGCATATTGTTCTTTGGATAGACCCAATACCACAGTTAGCATCTTGTTTTTTTATTTTTCCAGTGCGTGTAATACCACCCAGCCAAGATTGTTGAAGGCAAAACTGGAAGATATGCAGGTGGATGCTTCCTTAGTCACTTGGATCCATGATTATCTGATGAGCAGGCCTCAATTTGTGAGATTACAGGGATGTGTGTCTGAAAGTCTGATAAGTAACAGGGGCCCTCCAGGGAACTGTGCTATCTCCCTTCCTGTTTACAATTAACACTGCAGATTTTAAGTACAGTTCTGACTCATGTCATCTGCAAAAATAATCGGATGACACAGCCATAGTAAGCTGTGTGGAGAAATGGCAGGAGGATGAGTACAGACATCTGGTTGACTGCTTTGTGAAGTGGTGTGGGGTAAATCACAGTTAAATGTGACGAAAACAAAAGAAATTGTGGTAGATTTCAACAAGAATAAGACCCCACCCTCTCCAGTCTGCATTGAGGAGATTAATGTGGAACTTCTGAAATCGTACAAGTACTTGGGTGTCGAGTTGGACAACAAGTTAGAGTGGTCTATAAACACGGAGGCTGTTTACAAGAAGAAGGGGTTTACAAGAAGGGCTATCAGACTGTTGTTGTGACTTGTGAGTACAATCTTCTTTGCTGTGGTGTGTTGGGCGCGGGAGTCAAAGCAAAGGATGCCAACAGACTAAACAAACTCATCAAGAAGGCTGAGTCTATCGTCGGCTCTGAGCTTGGTACACTGGAGGAAGTGGTCAGGGACAGAATGCTGGCAAAGTTGCTGGGGATTATGGACAATGATGCTCATCCCCTTCATAAAACTCTGGATAAACTCAAGAGTAGCTTTAGCAATAGGCTCATTCAGCCTCATTGCTTGAAGGAACAATATAGGAAATCATTCCTGCCTAGTGCTATTAGAGTGTATAACTTATCTGTCTAGGACAGAACTGTGTTAGTCAAAGAGTATGTAGTCACATGTATTCTAAGTGTTTGTTGATTGTGTTGAGCTGCCATGACAATTAAATTTCCCCTTGGGGATCAATAAAGTTTATCTAATCTAAGATATTTTTGATGGAATCAGAGAGCTCTCTGACCCTCCATTGACAGCAAGCATATTACCACGATCAACGCACAGAAACGTAGCAAGGACATCGGTAAAATAGTCCATGTGACATCAGGGGTTCAACTGTAATTTTACAAAGCTACGAGAATACTTTTTGTGCACTAAGAAAATAATAATAACATAATTTATTCAGCAATTCTTCTCACAGAGTTACCGTCTTCCACCATTTTGGAGAGTACCCCAGAACGTTATCAACGTAATCAGTGTTGTTTACGTTCAGCATGCGCGCTCTGTCTACTAAATGTAAACAACGCTGATTAAATTATGTTATTATTGTTTTCTGTGCACACAAAAAGTATTCGCATAGCTTCGTAAAATGACGGTTGAACCCCTGATGTCACATGGACTATTTTATGGATGTCCTTGCTACGTTTTTGTGCATTGATCGTGGTAATATCCTTGCTATCTAAGGAGGGTCAGAGAGCTCTCAGATTCCATTAAAAATATCTTAATTTGTGTTCCGAAGATGAACGAAGGTCTTACGGGTTTGGAACGACATGAGGGTGAGTAATTAAGGACAGAATTTTCATTTTTGGGTGACAGACCAAACAAGAAATTAACAAGACACAGGTAAACTAACTATCGGTAGGATGTGGCCTCCGTAGCGCCCTTCTCTGGAAGGCTCGCTTCCCCATCGTCACTGCCAAGCTGTAACAACAAATAGGAAAGACTTGAAGCAATCTTTCATTGAAGGTCGAACTCCCTTCTGTTAAGAAATTTCTGTGGTGAAAGGAACAGCGGCTTGGTTATCACCAGCAGCGATATACTCACCTTTGGTCCCTGTGGGTACCAAGGTAAGCGAATTATTAATATGGTCAATATGCAGAAGCAGTTGTATGGCATTGTGCTGAATACTATGTGGCCCTATGTAACTGTTTATCATAGATGTATATTGAACTTATTTTGTTTATTTTTTTGTGAGGTAAACAAAAATTTGTGGGGTAATTTTCATTTTTGGGTGAATTAACCCTTTAAGGATTACTTTAATGGGTTTAGTTCACAGAAGCCCATGCCTGCATTACATGGCCTAAAATCATGATATGATGTAGTCCGTGTGAAAACAAGGTCAACTTTAAAGGGTTAGTTCACCCAAAAATGAAAATTAGCTCACAAATTACTCACCCTCAAGTCATCCTAGGTGTATATGACTTTCTTCTTTCAGACGAATCCAGTCGGAGTTATATTAAAAAATGCGCAACGCTGAACTCATACGTCATCCGCCCGGAGCTGCTTCCGTGTAGGACTGTTGGCGCAAACTACATTAAAGTGATTATTACGTTTTGAATATGGATATATTCAAAATATCCATATTCAATGGAGCCGTGTGAGACACTTTTTTTATGGATGGGCGCTTTTTATTTAACTTCTTTTGGACTGATGCATGCAACACCTGCTGCATTACTTTAATGGGTTTACTTCACAGAAGCCCATGCCTGCATTACATGGCTTAAAATCATGATATGATGTAGTCTGTGGTAAGCAAATACCTTCTAATGTGTCATATAGCATAGAATGGTGAGAATTAGAAACTGCATGAAACAATAAACATATTACACATACACAATCCATACAGTAACAAAAAAGTGTCAACTGTCCAAGAGCACTGCAGTACTGATAAATACAACTAAACATTATTCAGAAACATTTACATTTGTTAGATTTAAAGCAAGTGTAATGCAAAAGTTTTTTTTTTAAATCACTGTTAATCTAAAATGATTAGCAAAGATGAGTACTGCATTCAAAAAATTATTTTACAAACTTTACAACTTTGTTCACAAAAAAAAAAAGGAATTACGAGAAGGAAGGAATCACAAAGATGCTTTACTAGGTTTCAGCCCAGAGGTTTTAAACATGTTTGGCCTGTTTACAACACAATATCTATTACAACTACAAACAAACTTGATCACAGCTGATAGACAATGAGATTAAACCTGTACTTATCATTTTTATTACTCCTTCTGCATTTCATTCTTCTTTCTATTATAGTGTTCACTTTGTGTCGTTTGCAGTTCTTTTTATGGATTGCATGACCTCCTCTGTCGAGCATATATGACGAGATTCAGCATAGGTGGTATTGTCTGTGTCAGGCAAGTGTTAATTATCCTGGTGTTCGGATCAGAATATGTTGTTATAGATGCAATATTATTGCTTATAAGTGGGAGATAACTGATTGCCACCATCATGAGATGTGAGTTGCAGGTTTTCATGGCTTTCAGGAGATGTGAGGTACAGGTTTTTATGGCTTTGATACGGTCAACACCATGGGGAATCTTAAACAAAACCAGAGCAATGCAGAAATATGAAATGAAGATCAATATCAGTGGTGTAAAAATCAGGAGACCATAGCACATTTTAACCAAAAAAATTATCAGAGAAGTATCATTACAGGCTAGTCTATAGATAGGGCCATAATCACAAAAATAAGTATCAAGCACATTAGATCCACAAAAAGAAAGTCTGGTCATAGAACCTACAAATACAGAAAAAAATGTCACAGACAAAATCCACAGCAGCCCTATGATCAGAAACATGGCTGGTTTGGTTACAACAGCATGATAATGTAAAGGAAAACAAATAGCAACCAGTTATAAACATATTTGCAAAACATGCTTCATATGAAATGTCCTGGTGCTCAAATAAAAATGTGTCAATGACTTTTGGAATTACAGCTGAGCTTCCACACAGATCAGAAAGTGCCAGATGAAAAACAGCAATGTATTTGGCTGTGTGAAGCTTGCAGGCCAAATATATGATAAACATGATAAATGAATTCGCTAAAACAGTCACAACATACACTAAAGACAAGAACACAAAGTAGTATTTCACATGTGGGATATTAGAAAAGCCAATGAGGAAAAATGTAGCAGGACAAACAAAGGTCACATTTGCAGAGGAGTTTGACTGCATGGAGCTCATGATGACTGTTGTCTGGTTTTTTGTCACCTGTGATGAAGAACTGTTATAGAAATACACTCAAAAATACAGAATATTCAAATAATTATTTAATTCCGTCACAGTGCATTTATGGCCAAACATGTTTGGATGTTCTTTGATATAACCTTACTGAACTAATAATAAAATCTTTTTTGTTTCAGTAAAATCATTAGATAGAAACAGAGGAAACACATGGTGCATACTTTACCTTCTCCAAACTGGAACCATCTCATAAATTTACCAGCCATCAGCAAATATATAGTTAGATTATTCTCTTGAGCTTGGGACCTTTTTCTCTATAGACTTGAGGATAAAGGGGCAGGAATATCTATTTAAGCATGGAAAAATCAGCAGTGCTACTGTCCACAGAGCATCACTGTTAGCAACCATCAAACTAATGGTATGCTAATCATGGGTGGATAGGAGTAAGTCCATTGAAACAATGTTTTATAGGATAAATATAGAAGGGTGCAAAACATACAAGAGCATCATTTTTCCAAATATATTTTGATAATCAAAACAACAGCATATTTGTATAATGCTTGAATAGACAAAATGTAATTGTTATTGAATAACTTACATTTCAGACACAGTTACTTTG